TTTCTCGCAACCTTTCGAAAGAAGATGAGCGTCAGCGCGACCACCCCAAACAGGTCCCATCTCATAGAAACCATTGTGACATAACAAGCCATGGAAGAATAGTCTGTGAAAACAAAGTCAGTTGGGAGAAGATAAGTATGATCAAAATGAACGTACTCAACTGTTCATTAACGTTCATTCCTCAAAAAGACTGATATTGGCTGACTACACACCAAACGGCAAGTCCGATGACCGCAATCAAGGGACCATGTGCAGGAGTCCTGTCGATGAGGTTCCTTCTAATACGCGATTTAAACTCTGTCGGACGTCGTATTCCCAGATGACTTTGAAAACACGTGGTAAGCAAACAAAGCGCGACCAAAAGCATAAATGAAATACTCACCGAGGTACTCTGTTGATGACACTTAGCCTGCAGCGCGCCGCCCGCAAGCGAAGATGTGTTCGAGAGATAGGGGACCTTGGCTGGATGTCCTTTCCTGCGGCCATCGATCACAGAATCCAAGAGTACGAGACGACGATGTGTGGTGGACATGATGGCGAAGCCCGTTTTGAGCTTCGGCACGTTCCGGCAGCGAGCTCTGATACCGATGACATCACGACGGCTTCTTAACTGCTTGCCTCTGCCAACAATGCACGCCCCACATTTATCTAAGAGCTGTATTCATATCCAAGGGTCGGGATTCTTGTTCTGAACTGTTTACCGTCACTGTTCTTCCCAGAAGTTCCTTCTCCTGCGCTAATATATATGGACGAGGCACGACGCCTATCAATCAGCCTTCAAGCGATTCGTTGTATTCAGCCAAGGGCATCTCCGTTGTTCGTGGAAGTATCGAGAAATCGATCATCATCGGTTCTGAAGACGACGTTTTCGATGTTGCCGTGAACGATATCCTACTGACTGAGAAGATTGTCGAGTCGAGGGGGAAATCATCAGATCCGCGATTTTTCTGGGACATGTATCCAGTGATACCGACGTCGAAGGTATGGAGGAAGGTACTGTGAATGTGTTGGGTGGACTGGACATGGTACGTGGCCTCATATGTATTTTAAACTATGTCTTGAGCTCACGGCCGTCTTGTTAGATGGTTGCGAACGCTACCATTTGTAATTGTATAACAGTTGAATAAAACAAGGACAGCTTATATTGGGGACGTCTTTTCAGAGAGATATGTAAGATCTAGTTGAGTAGGTAACATAAGAGACCGATTAAGACCATTGGCCTGATATCGAATCGGAGACCTATTTACGAAGTGGGGTTACAAGCAGTGGGACCTGCGGCCCCTCCTCCGCCTTTCCTGGAACGAGGGGGGCCAAACCTGCACCGGCGGGACCATGCTGCAATTTAGAAGCTCCTTTCGGCATATCGAATTCGAAGTTGTCCAAGAGCTCTGTGACTACAGATTGTAGTTCCATGACGCTACAAACCAATCAAATCCCTGAAAATATAAGAAACTAATCTACACTCACGAGAATCGCCACCTACAGATATGGGTAGTCATAGGTCAGTGTGAAGCACTACTTGCTACACTCAATGCACTCACCCAATACATCCACGAATACCAGCACCTAATGTAGTACCATCGTCAACGAAGACCACGGATAAATAATGTGATTACTTACTGAAAGTCATTCTGCAATATCATTATGGTAATATCAGCGGGTGAAATACATAAAACGTGGAAATCGCACAGATTCGCATAAACCCCGAGAGAAGTTTGCTTGATGTCACGACTGTCAAGGAATCGGCGGGGATTCCAGTCCTCGGCGTCCTCGCTCCAGACAGATGGTAGCCTAACACCAGCAATGATTCTGCTTCAACCAGAAGAAGAAGACCACACACCGATTGTAGGTATAAATAGAAGCCATGACAGTTTGTCCTTTGGAAATATGGATCTCCGAGCATATTTTACCATCCGAAGTAGTGATAGGCTCCGCGAGGGGCAGAATATCGTCCTGGGAGGATTTACGATATAGGGAATACATCAGGGGATGTAAACGAAGAGTTTCCTATTGTAATCCATGTATATCAACGATCGGAAGCATTTGAATTATCATAGAGTGGCAACCTACTTTGATGCAAGCGTTTAGCCAAACCATTGAATCATAGTCGTGCGAGGTAAGCGCCCCCTGGGCATTCAATTTGGTTTGCGAAATCTCCTCACGTATCTTCGCTTGATCCTCGGGGTGAAGACTAAGCTCGTAGAGAATCCAGGCCATCGTATTTGCGCTCGTGTCATGACCAGCTAGAACAAAGGTTCTGAATTCCATCCGATGTCAATGAACATAAACACGTTATACTGAGTGAAATCACTTTACGCTATCTGAGAGTCGATTTCCACATCGCTCATGTTCCTCTTCCCATCGTCGCTGAGACGAGACACCGCTGAAAAGGGATGAGAAAAACATCCAGTGAAAAAATTCATATTTCCTACCGAGAATGTTGACAATATCCTTTTCAGTGGGATTGACATCATTGGTCACTTCCTTCATTTGTCTGTCGAAGATAGGTCGAGCCACCTTCATCGCAACGTCTCTAAACCAATTCATCCGCTTGGTTTCTCTGGTAGGTATCCATTCCAACGCAAAAATCAACCATCCAGGAAGTATGCGCCAGAGTGCGTTATACAAGAGCTCAAATGATGTTGGCCACATCCTAGCTTCCGCGCTATAAAAAAAACAAGTATGCAAGGTATACAACAAATAGTGGATGTGATGCATACAATACATTATTGAGGGCCTTCATAAGTTCAGTACCCCCACCGTTAAGCGAATTGAAATGATATCGGAAAGCAGCTAGTGGCACGTATTATCAGCCCCTTCGATGAAAAGGAGTCTAAGATGAAGCCGTACTGATGCCTATGATATCCAGTGCAGCCTTGCTTGTCCATTCAAGCATATTGAGCACCCCATCGTCCACAATACGTTCGGTTATCTTGTCTGTAAGCTATGGAATTTGGGTCAGGTGTTGTCATTGAAGTTTGTTTACTTGACGTACCTTCATGGCTGATGCCTGGAAAACGGTTAGAAATAGCCGGAGCTGAGACGCCGTAAAGGCTGGGCCAAGAATTCTCCGCTGACGTTGGTGGATGTCACCTAAAATTCCAGCTAACCAAAGTTGAGCCTTGACAACATGTAAACTATTCATACCATCCGCAGCAACTAAACCTTCTCCTGTGAGCGCTTTTATGGAACGTTTGTTATCTCTTGTCTTTGAGAACCGGTATCCAGAAGAATGGAAAATGTACTGCAGCGCCTTAGGGTCACCGACGGACAAAATATCTTGCTGTATCAGAGTCAGAGTCGTCATTGACAGATACAAAATAAATACTGACTGAGAAACACCCTTTGGTGCGGTATACGGCGCCGTACTGTTGAAGCCATTCTGTCTCTAGATGGCCTACATGTTGACGATTACGAAGGAGGTATTCATGGCCTAATTAACGAGTATTATAAACACGATTGAACGATAGTGCGAAGCCCAACAAACCTAAGAGAATTGAAGGACTTAGCGGTCCACGAATACTCCACACCGTAGATCTGCGTCCTTTGAAGCGCCAAAAGATGACAGTAAGAAGAGCTGCCATCGTAGGGACGACGATGTAGTATAAGATAGGCTGCATGATGAGGATGTGCTATCTGAACAAGATGTTCTGAAATGGATGCCGTTCTTAAGTAGTTCTTGATGCATTCTATAAGGATGTTCTTGAGCTTGATGATGACATTGGCGAGATGTGATAATTGCGGAAGAACGGTCATGTTGAGAAATTGTAGTCATGTCAATCTTTTACTGATCTAATTTAGTTTGTGTCGAATGGAAGTGTACGAGAATCATATCCGGCCGGTGTATGTATAAGAGAGTAATCCCACTGACCTTCCGGCTCATCCTACGCAGCACGAACCATAGTCAGGTGCTGAAAAATGTTTTCGTCAGCACTGAGCAGCCTTCTGCAGCACTTGGTCGGCAAGAAACAAAACCTCTGCGACAACTGATTGGGCTCTTTCCCAACGCTTCCTTAGTCTTTCCTTGTCCTTTCCTGACGTGGTTGGCGTCCGGTCGGACGGGGCCGAAACTGTCAGATTACAAAATCATTCATAGTATACCGCCCGGGACGGAACTCCTGGCGCCAGGCGCATGAATCTGTATCACTCAGTCCGCCGGTGCAGCCTGAGAGCATGTATGATACGAGCCCGGATGATGGTACCACCACGAATTCATAAATGACAACCTTTAAGGTCAAAATAGATACGTAGAAGATATTGGCAACTAGATATCAAGGCTTCTCATTATGTACGCACATTGTTGGTACCATGGCGTATATTGACTTCGTCCTTTATGTGCATTGCTATTCAGATGCTGGAACTGATGCTTTCGACAAGGATGCTGACACCGCTAACACAATCAACTCAATGATCCTTATAGGTCTTTCCTAATATCTAACGGCAGTGTGAGATTGTGCTCGGGACTCAGAAGGTGATTAGGCTGCACGAATTAGCGCGCGAATGAATTGTCGAGATGACAAAGGTGCGTACATACTCAATCATCACGTTGACTCAGCTACAGCACTAGCCACCCGTTCCCCTTGGTTTTCTCACTTCTTCACAGCAACTTCACAGGATCGCCAAGCAACCGGATAATTTTATCCGACTGCTACCAATAGCAGGAAAGATATATATGTGCACGAGCGTGGTCTCGGCGGAGAAGTTAGCTTGTGCCATGTGCTTATCGGGAGTCTAGAGACAAATCTTACCGGTTGCATCTTACACCCGCCTATATGCGAACCTGCAATTCAGGTTGGTGTAGGAGCAAGTAAGTACTGCGAAGAATTTATATGGTGACAACTGCTTGTTTCCTTGTTTTCGATGTCTACGGACACAAAAAGAAGATGAAATTCTGTTATTCTCTATAGGTACTCCATAGACAAGCATAGTGTAATTCTTATAACATGAGCCGGAGACGGTGGGACATGACTGTAGAGGGCTTAATCTGTAAACGCACTACCTGCCCCATGGCTGATTTGGTTACAGCGTCCGACTGTTATGTGCCACCTACGATGCGACGTTATCGTCGAAAGGTTGAGAGTTCGAGCCTCCCTGGGACAGCAGCATAGGATTAAGGTTTTAGTTCCTATTGTTCTGATGTAGAGCATTTCGATCGTGATGATCTAATTCGTCAGTCATCAATAGTGGTAAAGTACGATTCTGTGGAATCTTTGTTGGAGGGTATTGGAGCAGAACTGACGCTGTATTTATTTCATCATTTATTGTCTTGAGCCCTGTGTACTCATTACCAAATGAGCGGCGCACAGCGCTCAATCACGACGTTGGCCATATTAATACTAAGTGCAGCGTATACGGTCACCCAAGGTTGCATTTTATTGAGATGTAAACACGACTACTCTTCAACGAAAGTCAAATTGGGATTTTGCCCGCAGCACATCCAGTACGATTCTACGAAATCTGTCCCGAACCGGAGACAATGGGGGTCAGGCGGAAACGGACAATTTCAAGGCATCTGCGCAATTCGATGACATGTCAGATCGTTGCACATATCTTTCAATACCAATGGCAAAGACCAAAGAGGAATACGAACGTGAACTTCTCAAGACGCGTCTGTGGCGTGGGAACAGATGACACATGTTTTCCATTCTCGTCTTTGTAACTTGTTTATGACTGCCACGAAAGCACCGACATTTACTAACCTTTCAGGCAGTTTGGGTATTTCATCTTTCTTTCCTTCAGATCGACTTCCTGCTTCGCAGATACTCACAATGCAAGACCCATTAGAAATAGAATACTGTGGGAAAGCGATGATGATATGTAATAGCAAACCAACTCGAGCCGTCTACAAATCTCATTAGATGCCTTATGGACGTCTCAGCAGGTGTTTATCGACATTAAAACCCTTGTTGAAGAGTGTGACCCTCGTCTCGTCGGTCAGCACGTTGACGACGTGAATCAACCAGAATGGGTCCTCGTAAGTTTCCAGTCTTTTAGCCGTTTTCACTTTGTACTGATTGTAATTCTCCTTCTTAGAAGCTAAACGGAACGGGAGAACACTTCTTGCTACTGCTATACTTATTCTAAGAAACGGGGATCATAGTATTCGACCTGCGCTGCTGCCTCATTCTAGGATGCATGGCCATACACCTAGTAAGAACTTCCATCTATTCCTCTGCGATCGTGAGCGTGCATGCTCACCAGATAGTAGAAACTGGTGTCTTTTTCTCTTATTGAGCGCATTCTGCAGGATATCAATTGTGCTTTTACTGCGAAGTCTCATCTGTGACCACCGCTCTAGCGGACGGAACTCGGATCTATGATCCAGGACCTTACAGACGAATGGCCGCTGTACCGGTTCATGGACGGCCAGCCGTATTTCGACATCATACACGAACTCGTTCATCCCCAGACATCGTGTTTAGACGCCTTAGGGACGTCGCAATGGGAAATGCTCGCTACTAAACCCCAATGTCTGTCCCAGTCTCGTCGGCCGGTAGAAGGTAAATATGAAATAACCTGAATGTCTCTTCGTAGGTTCCTCGTCTTGGCCGCTTGTCCTTCATATTGTTTTAATTTTCCTTCTCAGAAACCGTATTTAATGCGTGAACCCTAGTTTCTTTCATTATGCTCGTTCTATGAGAACTTGATTCCGGAAATAGACCTGTGCTGCTGGTTGTAGTTCTGTCACCATGTACGAACATAAACCTGGTAAGGACCTCCGTTGATTCCCTCTGCGATCTCTCCTGACCAGATGATAGAGAGTGACGCCATCTTCTCTTGAGCGTGTTCTGTGGGATACCTACAAAGAATCAGGCACATTTTCGTCTGTGGCCCTCACTGTAACCGATGGAGCCTGGATTTATGATCTAGGACCTCAAAAAGAGTCGTTGGCGGGGATGGCGGGCAGATGTTCTTTTCGGCAGGTTCAAACGCTTGAGCGGCACGATCCGGCGTGTTGTCCCTTTAATCACTGATTTTCGCCCTCCGACATCTCACGGCGGATGGCCTCTGCACCAGTTCTTGGACGGCCAGTCACAATTGGACACCGTACGCGAACTCGCTGATCTCCAGACGTCGCGTTTCCTGCTGCTGAAGCTACACAAGGTGATTCGTCTTCTCTCCAGGTGAATGTTGTGCCGCGGTTCCTAGTCTCGTGGGCAGCCGCACTTTCAACGACGTTTTAGAAAGATCAACCACCCCTTGTTTTTGTCTTTGTTCATCGTCCTAAGACTCCAAGCTTCTTCCGTGGGTCGCATATCGGAGACTGCCCGAGATGTCCTGCACTTGCTACCCGGCGATGATAGCATTTCCTTGATGGACGCGCGACAGCACCATTCTCGCTCCACGATTTCATCAGATCAAGGAAGCAGAGGTAGTATCAGTCTTTCCCAGTCTTGCCTTCCGTGACAGATTTGCAGGCCCTTATGTGACTACTTCCAGTACCTCTCGGTGGATAACTTCGATGTCTCTGTTGGAGCGCTCACGAATGATCCTTGATCATCATTACGAAGGCGTTACTTTACCCATAGGACGACACCGCGTCCAGGGGGGTGGCGGTAGATACCTTGAGCCGCGCCACAAGGTGCAACCTTTACCCTGAAATTGAGAGTGTGAAGCCGTCATATCAATACGCTCATAGGGTTAACAAAAGCGATTTATGGGCCAGAGGGACATCCGCTCTGCACTGGCTTCTCCCTCATCATGTGCCGTCCACGGATATTCCTACTCCTTCGTCACAATGCTTTCATTATGTTCCTTAAGCGCAAGCGTCGCTTAAAACTTCATTTTCCTGTGACGACACCAGCATTCCAAATTCCAACTTAGTTGAGCTCGGGCCCTCCTGCTTTGCACGTCTCGGCAAATCAGTTCCGTCATCGTTAGACGGCACAGTACCCCTTGGCCCGGCCGAAAAGCAAGCGCAACAGCTGCCTTATCGTCGGGAATCATTCCAACTCCACAAGGGTATTCGCTGGCCGTGCCAAGGCCAGGCCTCGTCGCAGTTTGAAATTGAGATTCCGAAGGTGACCGACGCGCTCACCGTCGCATCAACACATGCCCTTTTCAGTCTACCTGCTCTTCACCACCCTATAACCGTCCATACCGGATTGCACAGTGAATGTGAGCCATACTTATGAGGCTCTGCTATCTATCGAAATGAACGGTGACCTTTGTAGTTTCTTCCGAGCATCCGTTAATTCACCGAGTTTCCGATTTTTTCACGTCGAGCACATGTGTATTCATATGGCACAACTGGATGAGAGGGATGAAGTAGCTTGGGACTGCGGTACCGGGTCGTCTTAGCGATTCAAAATTGGAAGTCGAAGACTTCGAAATGAGGGGGTGGCAGATCGGGTGCCTGTCGTCGAAGCGTCATCCTCAAATCCTCTTAACCCCATTTCCGACCACTCCGTTAACGGGCTCTTCCTAGAAACGATTTTCCTCTCGGCTGATGTCAAACCGTCACCGGAACTCAATTTCTGATAATTGAAAACAGTGACACGATGCTCACTCTCCTATACGAGAAAATACCTTCTATCACACTTGAAGACCGCGTAACGGGCACATAACGCAAACATGTGGGAACAGGAAGAACGGTCTTATTACGGAGGGTGTTTATTTTTACAGTTTATCATGCCTTCCACTGTTGATGCAGTGTGGGCGCTCCAGTCCTCTGATGGTCACATTTTCATATTTCGATGACCTCACCCGGTATCCAGCTCAGGGTTCGTCTCGAAACACGAGGATTTCTCCTTTGGTCAAAAATTTCGGGCCTTGGACAATGAAATGCATGAACCGAGTTGTTATTTTTATTTGTGGACCACTGCGCGGCTCGGGTGAGAATGCTTTAAATTCGTTCGCTCACGACTGACGAGACCTCGTTCCAGTACACCCATGTTACTCTCTTCCCTCCTTATACTCCCTTCGCTCGTTTATACCACCCTCGCTCAGCAGAGCAATGCAAACCCTACTGTTGGTGGTAACCAAGATGATGGCTGGCAGAGCTTCCCGAAAGTCGTCGATGCTGACAGGCATACCAAGTGGGTTGTTGATGAAGACCTCGGCGCTTACATGGTATGCATGATTTCTCCTTCAATCGACGAGTAGCTCATTCCGTTCAGCCTGTCTACCAATCTTCGGGTCTGAATGCGACAGAAGTCACAAGAGCAGTCATTGTTCTGCATGGAAAGGTGGGCCAGACTCTCATTCGGTCTCCGTTTTTACTTAACCATAGACGCTGTCAAAAGCCCCGCGATTGCTGGTATTGTACGCACTGTTCATTACTTGTTGCATTTACGTGTGGCGCTGATGGTGACCCCTAGATTGGAATGCGATGAATAACGCACTTTACAACGCTACCTATGATGACCCTAGTATCGTGCGCGAGCATATATCCATCTTGGGACCATGCTTCTTCGATGAAGATGATCTAACCGCGGGCGCGGCCAGAGACGGTCAGCTCCTTTGGGGACGGACGACATGGATGAGTGGGCATACGAATGTCGCTCCCGAGTCTATATCCGGCTATAGCAGCTTCGATGCACTCGACTCGCTCATTGCATATTATATGGACAAAACTGTCTATCCAAATCTACAGGTAATAATTTCTCCCCGTTTCAGCACCACTGTCTTGCTCATTGATATATAGGTTGTCGTCATTGGAGGGCATTCAGCTGGCGCGCAAATGGCCCAGCGCTATGCAGCCCTGAGAGTCACCACTGACGACGATGATCGGTTACATTTCTGGATCGGTCAGTTCTCTTGATATTATATGCGGTGATAGTACCTCACTTTTTAATACGTCAAGCGAATCCCGGATCTCTATTATGGCTAACGTCAGACCGTCCGGTCTCGGTCGACGACTGCGATGGCATAGACGACTACAAGTATGGGCTGGCGTCCGGTTTCCCTGCGTACGCAACTGCGAGTGCACGTACACTTGGAAGGTCGGGAATCGTTGAGAAATACAATGGACGCAATATGAATTACGATTGGGGACTGGTGAGTGATAAAGATCTGTTTCTCCGCCTAGTTATCCACGTCTCATCGCAGACCGATTACGCCAACGGAGACCACAGGTGTCAGGCAGCTGTGAGTGTTCT